GATGGTGTCCTGTAAGGCGCCTTCAGTATCAGTTTTCCTGCCCGATTCTGCATTCGTTGTATCTTCTGCAGATCTTGATCTGGAGCAGTGTCCCATGCTGTGCAGGCATATGTTATGTGTGGCAGGAAAATGGCGTTATACAAAGTGCAAAGAGCTGACGTTGAGATGAAGGGGCTGACGTGTTTCATCATAAAAGAAGAACGCCTCAATTTCCCTAGTACAGCTTTCACCTGGTCCTTCCAGTTTAGTTGAGTGAATTGGCTGTATGTATAATTATTTCACTCCATGAGTGAAGTACTGTCTTTCCTGATGTTTCTTTTTCTTCTTCTCCTCCTGCCATTTCTTTAAATCGATTCAACTCCTTCATTTTTGGGCCAAATAGCATGAAATTTTGCATGAAGGTAGAGTGGGCAAATACCCCCAGCCCCCAGGCGTTTTTTTAATTTTTGTGATACATGCTTTTAGAATGGTTTTATTTGAGCTTTTTGGCTGCATTATAGAAAATGTACTATAGCAGTGTGTTAATTCGGCAGCACGTCGGCAGAACGTACTGCGCCTAGAGCTGTGTACCTAAACAAATTTTAGGTACAGGTACAGGTACAGGTACACAGGTTTAGGTACAGGTCCGGACCTGAACCTGTTCCTGAACAATTCGACCAATTTATATGCTCTTCTGAACTCCTTCAATAACACAAAAACATAAATAAACTTGATAGTTAAGGTTTATTCTTTGTTTATGGCGAATGCTCAGATAAAATGTAGGCAAAACTAAGTGTTTTTGTTTTCATGAACACACTGTCCTTACACAGGGACCCATTGTTAACCAGCTATTTACACATTTGAGGTCACAAATAGGCATAAAATTGGTGTGAAATTGTTTAGGTACAGTACCGGTACTGAGGGATTAGGTATTTTGGACCTGTACCTAATCAATTTTTCCGGTACAGTATCGGTACTGCGTACCGGTACACAGCTCTAACTGCGCCTGAGCATAACCCTGGATTTTCGCGTTTTTAGTTGTATTTTTGGTCAACGTTGCATCAGAATTGTCACTGTTGCAGAGGATATCTTTTCTGCATCTGACACAGCATTTGGAAACTACTGTCGAAATGCTAACCTAAGCTTATATGAGCGAATACAACCTTATATGAGACATTCTGCTGAAGTGCTTTGCACAATACATTACGGGTTTCGCGCAGGTGCAGTACGTTCTGCCGACGTGCTTATTTCAGTCCATACCATGGTATGGATGAAATATATTGTGTTCTCTCATGTTTCTTCTCCTTCTCCTCCTGCCTCACAGTCACTCTGGCCAGGTCAGAGGTTAGTGTTCGGAACAGAAAAAGAAACGTAGTAACATGGTAAAAACAATTTTCCTTCGGTAAACATAAAAATCCTTTCCAGGGACATACTGATGAAGCGTGGCCGTGGGCGCTGGTCGCGTTGTCCGTCGTGTTTTTGGGCGTCGCCATTTTCGGCACGGCCTACAAGCCGAAAGCCAGCGAGGAGAGCAAGCAGGAGTACCTCAACATCATCGCCCTGGCGGAGCTGGCGGCTGCCGAGGCCGCGGAGCACAGTGGCCCCGCGGCCGGACAGGAAGATGTCTGCGTCGAACCGCAAGATCACGGTCACTAAAGTATCAGCCTTAAGTCTGCCACTGAGTGCTTAATAGGGGTTTACATCTGATTCAGTAGGGACCTGGCTAAAGCTTCGGTCACAACCCGCCGTACGTGCTTCTGCGTGCTGTCTACGTGCAAAAACGTGGGCAAACGCAGGGCACCCGTGCGTGGTGAATACCACCTCCGTACGGAATCCTACGGAATTTGGAGCACACAGACACGCCGTAGAACTTTAAGTGCATGTAAAACTTTTTCTGCGTGCGGTCTGCGGATTCACTACCCGTACGTGCGACGCGCGTGCCCCGTACGTGCCGTACGGAAGAAGCACGTGTGAGTACGACTTCCTTACGTTAAAGATGAAATCGCACAGAGATCGTACGTTGTAAGCACGTACAACTCACTTACCACTTGCGCAACGCACGATGCACGCAACGGCTCACGGCCAGACGTGGCGTGCAGACCCAACGCTTACACCTTGCGCAACCGTGCGAGTGACGTGCGTCGACGCCTCTCCTTCCCCACGTTTTTAGAAAAAACGTAGCAGACGTAGCCTCCCAAAAAACGTACGGACAAAAAAGCACATACAGCGGGTTGTGACCGCAGCTTTAGGGTTATTACCTCCATGAAAAATGGAGGTAGAGTATTGTTTTTGGTGTGTCTGTGTTTCCGCACAACAGATACCAATTATGCAAATGATGACCTAATTTGCATAATTAATGTGAAAATTCCGTGACTTCTTATTGGTGAATGATGGGAATTTTATACCTTGTGACATGTGTAAGTTACTCAAAGGTTAACACCACTATGCATATATTATCACGTTAATGTAGAAGTCATTTACATAATGAATGAGGACATGTTGAAATGTAGTATGACAAAGGAGAGGAATTTTACACGAAAAATATTATTTGAATTAAGAAAACCATAAATTAAACTAGATTATGCTAATTACGACCTTATTTCTATAGTCAATGAGACAAATAAAAACAATAAAAGAAAACCATATATTTCATGGAGGTATGAGATCTCCAAATTCTTGTTTTGGACAGTTTAACTAATGGAAAAGAAGGTCCAACATATGTTTTGTGATATCTGCGGTTTTGAACCACATGGAGCCCAGTTATTGACATTTCTATGTTTCAGCCAGCATATTTTGGGTGGGGAAATGGTTACAGACTGGCCAATTTCATACTGTCTTACCCCCACCAACAGATCTGCTTGGAGATTACTAACATCTGCACATTTACCACCAACAGCTGTAAAAAAAAAACGCAGTAAAGAAACACACACTTGTCATACCATTTTTGTACTTAAAATATGCCCATAAGGTTACATCTCTTCAAGTACTAGTATCAAAAGTGGTACAATTCAAGTTTCTTAAGCAAACGTCCTTGCTGGTAAGTTTACAGCAATACAAAAACATATCTTAAACGTCCTCATGTACACAAAAAACCCATAGCAAACAACTTGGAACAGTGATATCTTGAAAATTACGCATTTCTAATACTCGACAATGAAAATACAGCTAAAATAGACTTCTCTACTTTTAAACATGAAGACTGCTCTTCTACACAGAAGTTATTGATGACATGTACAGTTTATCTTCATCCATGATCTACTATCGGTAGAACTGTATCAGGTTTTACATGATCTTCTGATTTGAAACAAGAAAGAACAAACTAAATTCCATAATTCCTAGGATCCTTCTTGTCAAAAATTTGTACAGTATCCAAGTACAGTTACTAAACACAATGCGAATGTTAGCAATATTGTCCATAGCAAGATCTAACTAAGGAGTAAAGTACTAAAGTCTGTTCCAGGTTGGCCCCTTGAATGCTGAAACCCTTCCACCATAGCGTCTCCATGGCGTAAGCTCAGACAACTCTTTCTAGGGCTTCCAACATTATGATACTGTTGCCACGAATCACCTGAACATGGAAGAAGAGAGCAAAATAGTATATATTAATGCTAAGTATGGGTACATAGTTGACTAGGTACAGGTCCAAAATACAGAATCACTATGTACCAGTACTGCACCATTATAAACCTACACTACCTACAGCTAGTGGCCTCATGCGACACAACTACTGATAATACGCAACATATCTTTCTGGGACAGCTACAGTATCCATATCTGACCATAGGTCAATAGTACCTATGTGCCACCTCCCATATCTGCCCACAGGTATGCTATATTAGTACTTATATCATACCCGGGCCGCGATAACGTTTGATAACGGGTTCTGGACCGGGCCGTACTTTACGGTACGGCCCGGAACCCGTTATCGAGCGCTTCCATGGCTTCCATAAAACGATTCGAACGCGATTCGCCCTGACCGCGTGTGCCCCTAAATTGCCACCCTTTCGAAAATTCGAATACAGAATCCGGACGTTGGAATTGACGTTGTTGCATTTTAGGGTTTACTGGCACCAACTTTTGGCTCATCTTGCATTGAAAGGCGTGTTTTCTTGGGTGGGTATGACATAAATAAAATCAACACGGTGTATTCCGCATCGCCCTCGGTCCCGACCCTCCCGCGAGTAGGATCGCCCTCTGGCCTGTGGCCGTAGGGTGATCCGACCCGCGGTCGGGCCGATACCTCTGGCGATACGGAATACCCCGTGTTGTATTCTATATATCGCCCATTGGGGTGCTATATTAGTAAATACAGACGACCTCCGTATCTGCCCATAGGTATGCTACATTAGTACATACATACCACCTCCATGTCTGCCCAAAGGTATGCTGCATTAGTACATACGTACCACCTCCATGTCTGCCCATAGGTAATACGTATGCTATATTAGTACGTACCACCATGCCGATACTCTGCCTCTCGTTGCCTCGGAGTTCCACACACTCATCAATCACCAGGTTCATGAAGGGGTCGAACCCTCGCAGGATACCAGACACCTTCCTGTTGCCATTCAGCTGCACTGTTCCAAAAATCAATTGAGGTAAAGGTATAAAATACAATAGTAAAATTCATCATTTTACATTCAGGGTCAGGACTGGATTCAAAGCCAGTGGTTCGGGTTTAGGTCACTTATTCCATCCAGACCCAGGGCTCAAAATACTGGGTGCATGTGCACCTTAGTGCACCCAAAATTGGAGCTGTGCACCCAATTTTTTCTGTGGGTGCACCCAAATACTTTTTGTAGGTATTTTTGTACATATTTAAGGTATGAAAATTGATAGTATACAGTAATGTATGATGAGTATACAGGATATTCTTTGCATCTAAGGGTCAGAAAAAAATAAAATCTTTGTTGTAGTACTTGTGTAAGATTTTTAAGTTAGCTCCTATTTCTGATTCACACTCACAGATTACCTGCATGTGCATAATATTTCCCAGCCCTGTTGTCACACAGAGTAAGGAAATGACAAAAGAATTTGTACTCACAGCACATCCGCTTGTCCATGAACCTGTGGACACAAACAGAAGGAATGGATTTAACATGGTTATTTAGAACAAGGACCCTTGTTTAGACTTTTTATAGGTGTACCATGGGGCGCAAAATTGTGTGTTTAATTATAGGAAAGACTTGGAAGTTGGTAATATTTTCGTGGGGGGAGGGGGGTGGGGGAATATTATTGTAGAAATTTTCTTTCAGGTAGTGATCCGTACGTTTTACTTATATATAAGACTTGTGCGTCTTCGCAGGGTGCTTCGTGCATTTTTTCATAATTAAATTTGTAGTACTGAATACATTGGCACCCCATACAGTACTAGGAACAGTAACGTAACGCTAACGTTACTTACACTGTTACAGTGTGCGAGACAAACATTCATAATTTCACGTGAAAAACGACCAAATTTACCAGCTTCCAATACAACATTTGAGATCGATGATGACTTAGAATTCTGTATTATATATCAGAGAGTATACTTACTTCTTCAATTCGGGAGGATGTGCCTTACTCATCGTGAATCGGCTTGGATTGAACAGGAAAACAACAATGATCTGCAAATGTCGGATGCCACAACGATCGGACGTAGGGATGACGCTTTCCGAGTTTTACCGAAGATATCCGAAGTATCCTCCGCGTTTTCCCGAATATAGCCGATCATTGTCGACCATTGCCGATCAGCACATACGCAGAAGAACGTCACAACCAAGTGATTACTGCTGTTATAGTTCAGCGATTTCTCGTTGAAACTTGTGCAAACCGGAATTTACGGAACCTTCCCTGCTATTAGAATTAGTTCCGGGATCTTGACTGCAGCACAGTGTTGTTGATTTGCAGCTATAACTCTGCTAAAAGGTGAGTCGAGAGCCGAGCTGTGGTAGGTCAGGTTTTCACCAATCATGGCGGCATGTTCTCCAGGGAGGGGCTTCCATTGGATGAAACTGATCCAGCAAGTTTGTCCGCGAAAACTTCAATGGCACTTGGCCTGACTGCTTGGCTATAGCAAGGACATTATACACTGTGTCTAAATTGTCCTTGGCTATACTAAGCTATATGGGACGTTTTACTCACTGGTCTTTG